ATATATATATATATATATATATATATATATATATATGGTTTTGGAGATAGACCACCATAAACATATATATTTTGAAACTACATTACCCAGGATACTTGGATAAGTATATTTCATTTTGATCAAAGGGGCCCCAAATTAAAATATTTTTCCTTTGATTTAAATTTGAACAAGGTATTGGCTTCTATCCAAAACATAGGAGAAAACCAGAAGATGGAGGTCACATTGGTAAGATCAAAATGAGAAAATATGGACGTCAAGTTGAGCAAGAAATCACCAATCAGTGGGTAGTGCCTTAAAAAACATATTTGTTGCGACAATTCAATTGTCATATCTATGTTGAAATCTGCTCATCAATTCAATCCATCAAGTATTGCATCAAATGAATATCAAAGGGATTAGATCAAGCTGTTTTTTGTACTGAAAATTTATTTCCTTTTCATTTGAATTAAATTTAAATTTGAACAAGGTAATGAAGAAGGAGAAAGCTAGAAGATGGAGATCACATCAGCAAGATCATTGAGTAATATTGAAATGAATCATTTTTCTCCATTTTTCTAACAATGAATTAAAATCAACCATTTTCTTACAAAAGAAAATGTGTGACATGCATGGAGTGGTAAATTTATATAATATATATATATATATATATATATATATATATATATATATATATATATATATATATATATATATATAGAGAGAGATTTTCTGGAGTGGATTTAATTCTAAAATTGTCTCTGGTTTAACTTATATATTGCTATGGAGGTAGCTCAATAAGTTCATATCTTTCCATAAGTCATTAGGTAAATTTTGATCTGAAATTTTCACTGTATAATGTTTGAACAGCAGAATTAATAAAGTGCTAGGTTAAATACCTCAGGAATGATATTATCATATCGAAAAATAATTTTTTTTCATCATTAACCTACAGACCTGTGTGTGTGTGTGTGTGTGTGTGTGTTTGAAATATAAATAATTGATTAAAACTTACATTGTTTTTCAGTTTTTAACAGAGCTCAGTGCCAGCAACAGATCTGCGACAAAGTTGGATATTGGCCAATGTTTAAAAATCAGCTTCAAAAACATTTAAATCCCAGTCTTCGCAAGATCTTTCGCATTATTGTCAGTTTTCATTAAATAAATTAATCCTTGAATGCTTGAACAAATGGAAATTTTTCACTAATTAATTTGCAGGTACAGACTATGAAGACCACCTTCTCCACCCTGGAGAGGGAAATAGTAACAGTCTCAGTAGGTGCCGAAAAAATTTTAAAAATATGCCTACAGTATTTTTCCCTTTCAGTTGGAAGCTAATTGACATAGCAAGTACTTATTCTTATGCCTACACTTGCTAATAATCTTGAATTTTCTCTTAAGGATATAGTGTGTGTGTGTGTGTGTATTATATATATATATATATATATATATATATATATATAGGATTGGTGCATAATTATCAGGCGTTTTTGTAGGAGAGTTATTTGTTAATAAAAAATTGCTGTTTTGTTTACTTTTTTTTATTAATAAAAAATATTTGATTTTCAGGTTATAAAAATGCACCTCAATAATCATATGCTCTGGAATAATCATTAAAAAAAATGTTATTGTTGAATTGTTATATTTCCTTTTTCATAATAAATATTGTTTAAAAACGCCTGATAATTATGCACCAACCATACATATATATATATATATATATATAGCGACAATTTACACATAGCACCATCTATATTGTGCGATGGGTAAATTGTCGCAATTTCATTTTTTTTTTTTTTAATCTAAAGCATGCATGATGTTTGGTTTTGTCGAAGACTTAGTATAGTAGGGTCAGTTGGGCACCATCTGTAAGAAAAAGAGCGCCATGACGCAATTCACTCCACCAGAAATTTGGAAATGGCATGCTGTAATGCTTGGCGAATCAATGCCAGTGAGCTCCAAAATGAACACTTCAGAGTGTTTAGGTGTCAATCTGAGGAGAGTGCAGAAGATTTGAAAAGAGTTGGAGGAGTCTAATGGTGATTATGAAGGGATTTGGAGTGATTACTAGTGATGGTAATGTTCTATCTCCATTCATCTTCCCACATGGCTTCAGACTCAACATGGAAGCCTACATCAAGTGCCTTGAGGAGGTAGTGCTGCCCTGAGGTTTACTGGTAGAAGACCCTATGCCTAGCAACAGGACTCTGTTCAACTTTGTTCAATACCCGGTTAAGGCAGTGGAGAACTTGGAGAGGGGAATTAACAGGAGATAACTGATAACTGACATCCATTAAACATGGCATGTGGAACTAGAACAGTCTATCCCAGTGAGCGAAATAAAGGGTTCAGTTCGACATTCCAACCACCTGAAGAAGGCCGGAGCATACAACGGATGAAATGTTGTATTAAATATGGCTACAAAGATGAGAACAATCGTCCGAATAATGTAAATAGTGTACACACATATTTTTTCTTTTCATGATGAACCAGGATATAGAAATGTCATCATTGGCGATTGTGGAAAATATGCCAGCAACAAATGTACAAATAATTCCCCCACCTCCACCCTCTGAGCTTACTTTTCTATTTATAGATCTGACATTTAATTGGTTAATCAAGACATACCCACAAGTCTATTTTTAATTCTGACCATATGTGCCCCCACATCTTTAACTTTCAGAAAACAGGTAAAACTTTATTTTTAAATTTCCTTAAAAATCATTTAATCACCAGTTACTTACCATCAACTGAAGAAGTACACTCATAGAATTGAAACATGAAAGCTTTTGTGTACGATTTCAAAATGTTTTTATTATAAACTCTAAAATAAAAGTTCAGATCTTTTTACGAGTGTTTATCTTCAGAAACAAACAAAAACAATTAGATTTGAAAATACCAATAGTTTTTTTTTTAAGGTGTATACCTCATGGTCGGAATTACTGACACACCAGATTTAAAAAAAAAAAAAAAAAAAAAAAAAAAAAAACAAACTCTAGTGTTGATATAACTAATTAAAATTAAATTATTATTCAATTAATTAAAACAATAAAGTACATCAATAAGCAAAAAAGAGAACATTTATTTCACAGAAACAAACGTTTTTCAACAGTATCTTTCCTCACTATTTACATTATTCGGACTATTGTCCTCATCTTTGTCACCATATTTATTACAACGTTTCGGCTGTTGTACACTCTTTTTCTTCAGGTGGTTGGAATGCTGAACTGAACCCTTTTTTTCGCTCACTGGACACATGGCACAGTGGATAAAGGTGTTAGATCCAATGACAGGAACCAAAGAGTGCGAGTTCAATACCCAGTTAAGGTAGTGGAGAACTTGGAGAGGGGAATTAACAGGAGATAACGGATATCCATTAAACATGGCACATGGTACTAGAACAGCCTACCGCAGTGAGCAAAATAAAGGGTTCAGTTCGATATTCCAACCACCTGAAGAAGGCCAGAGCACACAACGGCCGAAACTTTGTAATAAATATGGCGACAAAGATGAGGACAATAGTCCGAATAATGTAAATAGTGTACATAATACCTCATCTCAGAAATATAGACAGATACTGAAAGGCCGAAACGTTGTAATAAATATGACGACAAAGATGAGGACAATAGTCCGAATAATGTAAATAGTGTACATAATACCTCATCTCAGAAATATAGAGAGTATCTTTCCTTTAGTCACCAATATTTAGAAGACTTAAAATGTTTATTTGGTTACTTATTTTAGTGCATCAGTTCACTTACAATTATTGTCATGTGACACAAACAAAAATCAGTGCATTATTTAAACAAATTAGCTGGAAATAATCAATGGTGCCTTTTTATAGCCGTCTGTCATTTTATGCCAACTGAGACTGCTTTTTTTATTTATTTATATAAGTAGCCAATTAATCGTTCTAAGTAATGCAGTTAATCGAAGTAAGTGCTGCATAAACTACAAATTGTGATTTTTTTTTTTAAATTAATTCACTGTTGGATATTAATTTGAGATCAAACAATTTTCTGGTTGAAATTCAAATACACACTGGGATATGCACTTATTGATCCACTCATTCTTTTTTTATATTAACTGTACTCAGTGCTGTTAACAGTATAACACTAACAACAGCCTTTGTCACTAATAATGACAATATGTCAGAGATATCTAACTACACACAATGGCATCTTTTCAGTTTCCCTCACAAACTATAATCATTATTAACGTAAATAAATAACATTTATTTTTATTCTCAAGATGTTTTGTTAGAGATTAACTGAATTTCCTTTATGATTACATTTTCTAAAAACGTCTTGTAAATAATAATAATAATAATAATAATAACGATGTAACTATCCTCTGGGACATGCCAATTGAAACTGAGAGTGAAATAAAAACCAATAAACCTGATATTATCATAAAAGACATGAAATTCAGGAAGTGTATGCTACTTGACATAGCAGTACCATCTGAGAGAAACACCTCTATGATAATTAGTGAGAAATTGTCCAAATACAAGGACCTGGAAATTGAGTTTAACAGGATGTGGGGAATGAGGACTGAGGCTATACCAATAGTAATCAGAGCTCTGGGCCTCATGAGAAGGGGAATGGACAATTTTACTAACAGTGTCCCAGGTAACATCAACATACAAATTGCCCAGTTCACCCTGCTCGGAACATCCCATATACTAAGTAAAGTTCTATCAATTAAATGACATTTCTCCTATAGCGCCTAAGGACCATAGTTTGGACCCGGCTCTACAGGATACAAAGCAGGAAACAGCAAAATCAAATATTAATAATAAATAAATAATAAAATCGATTTATATGCAACTAAATTAAGGAACCATATTTGCATTTTTGAATTTTTTTAGGGAAAACTGAAAATTTTAATAAAAAATATCAAATGCTGTTGCTTTTTAAAAATATAACACACATATATATATATATATATATATATATGTGTTCTTTTTTTTTAAGGATTTTTCAAAAATTTAATTTTACCATTAAAAAATAATTATTTTGGCTTACAGCCACATCATGTTTGAACCCCTGTTCCTATATGGTCACTGAAGTTAAGCAATGTTGAGCCTGGTCAGTAACTAGATGGGTAACTGTGTGGGAATATCAGGTGCTGTAACTTGGATGTGCAGGTGGTGTAATAGATACTGGTTTGGAATTGTTAATCAGAGAGTGGTGTTCCAGTTCCCATTATATTAACTTACATGCTATCCACCTCTTCTCCCCACCAAGCTATGGGTTAATTAGTAAGACTTGTATCACAACTATTATTATCATCATCATCTAAAATAAAAAGAATAAGTAAACTCTTAAAATTTAAAAATATTTTATGGCTTTGAATAACCTATAAAGGGTTGATAAACCGTAAAAGAAAAATTAAGATATGATGCAATGTAATTGTGTATGTTATTGAAGAAAAGAAAAACATTTGAAAGAAAAAAACCTTGACTGATTTTATTTTCATTGTAATTCCTCTGCATTATTTAATAATTAAATCAAATCAATTGTTTTTTAGCCATTGTTATGAAATATAATTGTTTTACTTTATGCATTTACGCAGGTTATCTGATGGTTAGCGATGTAGATTGATTGAGGAATAGTAATTCACCTCGAATATTGGCAGAACTTTCTTCTGTATTGTCGCAGACTCTCGAGCCACCAGCATTGCCGCAGTGTCGTGGACACTCACTTGCAGTCTCAGTTTCCAATTCATTCAATTAATGTCTTTCTTTTATTTTGATATTAGCAAAAGATGTTTTACACTTACGAAACAAAATCTGAATTAAATTTGACATTTTCAGCTTTTATTGTAACACTTACTACTTTTTGTTTATATGTTTCAAGTTATGTGTAACCAAAAATTTAAGTTTCATAAGTCTATACAACTTCAACAATATGAAATATATATGGAGAGAAAGAGAGGATTATATATATATATATATATATATATATATATATATATATATATATATATATATAGAGAGAGAGAGAGAGAGAGAGAGAGAGATAAATAGAGAATATACATGTGGTATAATGGTTAGCAAGCTTGTCTTGCTAGAACAATTACGACTGAGTAGTGAGTTCGATCCTCACTGGGTGCTCCATACTTCCGACCTTGTGCCACATCTAAGCTGCGCTTAGAAGATCACTATATAGATAAAAGAGATAAAAATATATAGAGAAAGATAGAATATATATATATATATACACACACGCATAGAGAGAGAGACAAGAGAAAGATATATATATATATATATATATATATATATATATATATATATATATATATATAAGAGAGAGAGATGCTGTGTAGACATAGAACTCATAGTTTACCTAATTGTTGATTTCTATCTCTACACTATTACCGTTAGAGTACTCTTCCCCCATGAATAGAGCATAGCCGAAAAAATATAGCTCTATTTTGGCAGCAAACCTTCTCTAATACATGCTTCACTTAATTAAAAAAAGAAATGACTAACAAAATACAAGGTATTTGTCTTAAGTTTTTTTTTATTGTATTTTTCTTGGGACTGAGTGTGCGTAGAAAATTTAAAACCTGGCTATTGCAGAGATTAAAACCAAAATTGTCCATAGCAAACCAAAACAAAGTAAACGTTCGGTGGTGCCTGCCCCTTGGATCGAACTCGAATTCCCGTATCAACTTTGTGTGTGGGTGTACATTTTGCCCCATTTAAAAATGTTTTCTTTCATGACACTTACCTCCCCCTGTAATAAAAGAATTAATTTCCGATTCTTTTCGACTTTCAGTTTTTGTTTTCACTTTCTATGTAAAAAAAAAAAAAATACAACTTTTTTCATCCGGTCTCATATTGCAAGAATGCCTATATTAGCTAGAGATTATGTATATAAACAATAATTGTATATTTCTTTCTCTATTTTTAAGGTGAATAGGGAATAAAAGGTGAAAATTTCAGGCTGGCTGTTAGTGTTACTGTTAAAAATAAAATACGGGTCATATATTTTTTTAAAATTTTTTTTTTAAGAAAAAAAAAATTAATTTTAGAAACATTTTTTTTTTTTTTACTAGTTAGTTTAAATTTAAATTAAATATATCTAAAATTTAATTATGAGACTAATTCTAGCGCTTTAAAATTTGTTAATTTTTTCTACAAGAAGAAAGACAGATATATAAATTTTCCAAAAGTTTTTCACCATGACGAAACGTCCCAGTTTACTCACGTGGCAAATATAACCTATTTTAAATTTAAAATTACACATCTTGACTAGTATTTCAGAGGTTTCTGGCAAATGGTAAAAACTTAAGCAAAAAAAAAACAAAAAAAAACAAAAACAAAATTTAAAGCAGCTATAACTATTTTTCACACTTAAAAAAAAAACAAAACAAAACAAAAAAACAAAACCCTCATCTATAATGAGAAGTGGTTGTCCATACGCAAAGTGGCGGTTAATTAAAGAAAAATTGCAAAATACACAGATAAAATATTTCAGGGCGTTACGTGAGATGTGTGGATAGGTATGGAACAGCACACAAGATAAATTTTAATATAAAAACAAAACTAAAGTCATTGTTTCTGGTTTTATTTGACAAGCACTAATAAAAGATATTTTAAGCAAAAATAGCATTAACCATTTTTGTGTTATATTTTTAGAATGTGTTTGCATTCTGTGGACACTTACATTTCTGAACTACAACCTCTCACACAGATATATACACAACAACAGCCTGCTACTAAGTTGTGAGATCAGAAGTTCCATCCCTAAAAAGCAGGGCTGAAGAGGTTCAAGTGCAGCATCAGGGGGAAATCTTTTTAAAGCTCGGAAGCGCTTATTTTTTTTTGTACCGAGAAATCAAATTGTTATTGTTAAAAAATTACAAAATAAAGCAAACTGTCCTTCCATATAGTGTTTTTAACTCCAAATACGACGCCGAGTTTTGCCTGTCAGTGTCAGATTAAAAAAAAAAAAAAAAAGAAGATAAATTTAAAAAGAAAAAACAAATAAAAGATGAAGTTTGCTACCACCAAAGTAGAATAAAGATTGAACTCAGACCAAGTTAAAAATAGCAAATACTTGTAAAATCTGCAACATCTCGTGATCTAAAAACGTGCAGGTGCTGCTACTACTACAAAGGTCCTTTTTATTTTATTTTTTTTAAATAAAAAGCTTATCTTGAATTTGCTAAAGGTTGTTTATAGTTTTAAATTAACGATTTAAAAAAGAAAAAAAAAAAAAAGAAAAAGCCAGGTCCTATCCAATTTTTTTAAAGATTTTTTTTTTAATTACACAGAAAAGTAAAAGTTTATAAAAATCCCAACCATTCTTAAAATTAAAATAATTGAAAGCGAGCTTACAAATAAACTCGGGCACATTTCTTTTGTTTAAAAAAAAAGATGTGACTACTTATTTTTTTATTTAAGGCAAGGACACACTTCGTAGCAGTCGTACTTTAGGATATTCCAATGAACATTAAACACATAGATAATAAGCAGAAGAAAAAAAATAGGAATATATATTCAACTCGACTACATTATTACAGAAACCAGCTAAAACTGCACGCACATGTCGAGGTAAACATTTAAAAAGTAGTAAGCATTTAAAAAAACAAATATTTTTGTTTCCTCGGTGGAATATCGCGATCCTTTTCTCAAGACAATACTAATTCTTTCTTTAACAAAAGAGTCCAAGAAAATAGCATATGTCAATATTTATATGAGGGTATACTGATCTGTGCCACACAAATTCAAAGTTAAAACTTAAAAATGTTTGTTGTGTACATATCACAAATACGCAAACACAGTTTCAGTATGGATTATTAAATAAAGAAACGACAAAATTAAAATACCATCGAAGAATCCCATGTGAAGGAAATATCCTTGTTTGTTTTGTTGATTAATAAGAAACTCATGAGATTTTGGGTTTACGTTCATATTTGTAGGTATTTTAAAAACGTGCATTTTAATATATATCTTTAAATAATAATTTAAAAAATAATATATATAGTAGTCGGAAGATGTAATTTTTAAAATTATAACTAAAATCTTTCTGGGTATGAATTATTATTTTTTTAATGATTTTTCATTGTATCCCCCGCCCCCAAGCGTACTTTTAGCTTCTTGAAACGAGCATGTGCCCGAAAAAAATAAAAAAAAAAAAAAAAAAAGGAACATAAAATAAAATAATAATGAGAGGCTAATTAGAAAATATTGTAAGCCGTTTTTAAAAATATTTAATCAACGGATCAATTTCCTTCCTTTGCTAAAAAGAAAAATGTAAAAAAAATAAATAACAAAAAAAAAAAAAAAAAACTAATCAAAACAGAACTTAAAAATAAGAATAACCCAATTCCATTTCATTTACAAATTCGCTTGTCATTAATTAATCTTTTTGGGATCATTTTGCATTAATGAACATCACAAACCCGGCAGTAGAGATAAACTAACTCAGTGAAGTCTCTTTTTTTGGAGATAGCTAAGAAACGAGTAAGGTAAACATTTCGGTCTATGCAATAGAATAACCAAAACCTTCCAAGGTATGTAAACACTAGAAAAGAAGAAAAAAAAGAAAAATATTGGGGTATGTGATTCCCTGAGCTTACCTTTAAAAATCAGTGTTATTCCTTATTGAGTGTTGAATTCATTGTTTAGAAAATTCCAGTTAGTTTAAAAACTACCTCGGGAGAGGATTTTTTTTTTCTTATTTAAAAAAAAAATAAAAAAAATATAATACGGTTAAGAGAGAGAGAGAGAGACGTCTTTTTACCCGGCCATCAAGCGTGTTTTGCACGCTGCAGATCGCTGACAATCGCTCTTTTGACGACTACGGTCGAACAAAAAGACCAAAAATCTTTTCACGAATTCATTTGCTGAGTTTTTAAAAAAGGGGGGAGTAACTCTATGCGAATCTCGTGCGCACGAAAACAAACATATTTTTTTTCTAAATAATAACATTAAAAATAAATAAGAAAAAAATATTCAACTAAAAAAAATAGTCCTATCAAGTCAAATGATAGGAAATAATTGCATTTAAGTGCTTGCTTGCCTCCTCCTCTCTCATCAATATCCGTTCATGCTCTTTTTCTTATTACTAATGCTTGCTGACTGATTGATTGACTGACTGACTGACTGACTTGGACTGTGA